AATCCTCTTATCCGCACAGTTATGCGTGCCCGAGAGGTCGCGCGCCGTCGGCAATCTCGAAGCCCGGGGATCGGGCGGTGCAGCGCGATGTACACATTTGCCACACACCCGGTGCGGTGGCGGGGGGGATCGAGGGTTGCGGGAGCCAATGCCTGTGCGCATCGTTAGCACTTAAATCCAATGCGGTGAGTGAAGGGAAGCGGGGGAAGAGGGAAGGGGAAGGGGAAGAACGGAAGCCTGGCCGCCTAGGGAGAAGGGAAGTAGGAGGAAAGACGGAAAGAGGAAACACACCAAGCTTTGCGAATCGCCTGCGTCCAATGCCCGAGGTGACCAACACTTGCCCTCGCGTCCACTGCCCGCCGTCCAGTCGTCGACTCCGCTGCGCCGCTGTGCTCGCGTTCGAGCTATCGCTGGGGCACGCGAGCGCACTGCCTCGCGCTGCCGTATCTTGTCGGGTACACCGTGATGGGCAGGGCGCACGGAACGTGTTCCAGTCCATATCAGCGGGCCGTGGATGGCTCCTCTACAGAGACATTCTTCGTATCGTATTTGAGTTTTGAGCGCGTATTCACCTCCGTCTGCATCGGCCCATTCCGAGAGTTGGGCGAAGCGGCCTCTCCGAGAGTCCCTCAAAGTTCCTTTGAAGTTCCTATCTAGAGAGAATTCAAGAATTCAAGTATTCAAGTATCCTGCGACTATCCTGTAACACGTGGAGGAAACATCCACATCAAATTGACGATCGATCAATCCAAACACTTCCCACGGTCTATCGTAAGTTGATTTCAACTTTAAAGTTGACTTGCGCAATTTTTCCGTACACCTTTGGTACATCTTCAGCGCTTCAGCCTTGGCACCTCCGCTCGCTTGAATTCAGGGTGTCGGTATTCTCTACCCAAGTCGCTCGAATCATCTACCCATGAACCCTTGTCCAAGCTTAAGGAGACACAACTTCTGGGCCCTGGCAGTAAATAATTTGGGGACAGCCTGAGTACGGTATGAGTGCCATAGCCGGGTCCTTGTCTGCAGATTCCTTCTCTCCGTCAGTTTGAGGCCATAATTCAACCTACAGCGCCTTTCGTTGAGGGGCGGGCCCCGGGGACGGCGTCTGTAATCTCGCTGAGCCTGCACCGGCTGGTGAAACGTCTGCGAGCAGTCCGTCCCGATGCAGCTAAAATTAGCCGATGTCGCTTCCTTGAAGTTCCGACTGGCTAGCAACTGGCTGCTGTATACTCCGATCGCGACCAGGGTCGGACCCAAGTCGGACCGGTCGGTTCGTTTCGAGATCCCATGCCCGCTGGCAACAAGACTTGCAACGGTGTCTTGCTGATTGCCCCCCTCTGAATATATTTCAGGATCCGGCAATCCGAAATGAATCTCGTGTGGGCGCATTCCATTCTCCCGGCAATGGCGGCGAAGTCACGCATCCTTGGCTCCCGTGATGCGTTAAAATGAAGTACCTGTGTGCTCAGCGCTGCTCTTTTCGGCCAGGGGATGGCCAATTTTAACGGAGAAACCGGCGCGGGATCGATCATCAGAGTTTGAGGCCCCCGGTTATGGCGGTCAATCGGCACCTTTAATAAAACACACATATTTTGTGTCTTTTCGCATAAAAATGGGCTGTTTGACCTGTTTCAAGATCAGATTCCGAGTCTCGAGAAAGTTTCGAGATTTTGAACTTTCGAGATATTTTTGTTTTCAAAAATGGTACTTTTTTTTTCAACTTCGTGAAATCGTGTTTTGCTCGGCGTTACCAAGCCGGACGGCTGTGCAAGCCGAAGTGATGGCCTCGTGCCTTCTGGTGCATCCCTTGCATTTCCCTCACACACTCTGGCCCGTCGCACCTCACCTGATTATGCAAAACTGCCAGAGTTGGTTTGGCTATCTGTTCCTTGTGTGTGCAGCCTGCCAGCAGCTCACCTCCCCATTTGATCTGACCTGGTTGAAGTCTCCTCCGGTCTCCCTCAGGCTCTGCCCCAAGCTGCAGTAGACATGCCCACATTGCCATGCTGTATCACAGTAGCTGCAAAATGGTAGCTGGTGTGGCTCCGGGCAGCCATGGCCATGTACATCAGTACACTTTGTGTCCACCAGTTGCCGGAGCCGCCGACGTGATGGGCCATCACATCGGCAACCATAACCGCTACTAGTATTACCACCGAACAAAAGACGATATCACGAAACAGAAAAAAAATCACGATTTCCGAAAAAAAAAATCACGAAAGTTCGAAGTCGCGAAATTTCCATCGAAACGGTCAGATTGCCAATTTTTTCACGAAAAAGCGCAAAAATATACGTGTTTTATTAAAGGTGCCAAGTGACCGCCATACCCGGTATCCCGCGTAGACTTGTAGGCTTACTCGCTGTGAAGACTCGTCGGCCCAAATTTCAATGCTAAGTACCGCAAAAACAATCTATTGAAGCTAACTCAAACGCATATGATACAAATTCTATGGATAAAAACAAGAGGACAGTCAAGTTTCGGTCGACAGTGGATAGTCTGGCAATTTATAAACGGGGACCGTCAAGTATGGGTATGGTTGCAGATATTCGATCGCCCACTTGTCCATTTCGGAACGGGGACGCCAGCGGCGAACAGCATCGCACAGCGTTTGGTAGAATCGCCGTATGTCCCGTCTGAGGAGGGGTTTCACGTCGGGGTCTGTCCAAGGCGACCCGCCGAACAGGTCTATGAGCACAACCCTCCTTGTTTCACCGGTCCCAGTGAGGATGAAGTTGGCAGGGTTCTGCAGATCGGCGAGTTCCCAGTAACTACGTGCCATTTCTTTGACGGACTCGATACCAAGGGTACACTGTTAGTTTAGATGAGGAAGACGCAAACGGAAGCGAACGAGCCGGGCTCACAAATTCCTGGATGAGAGGGACCGATTTCCGTTCGGCGGCGGCTTCCAAGGTGTCGCCTGGGATGAACTCGAGGACTAGGACCCATGCCCACTCTTCCGACGGGGTCTTGATCTGAACAAAGAATCGAGCTCAGTAGACGCCTGGAAGGAAGCACGAGGTGGCTTACAGTATGAAGTCCGAAGAAATAGGGAATTAAGCTGCCCTGTTTGCTCGCGAACGCCTGATACACCCAAGCTTCGTGCCGTGCGAGATGCTCCGGACGATGGTTGTCGCCCATCCAATCCTCATCCGGAAGGGGAAAGTGGCACAGAGAGGGCTGAATTATCTTCATGACGAGGCTTGTTTCAGGTGCACCAAGGGGTACGGCTCTCCACACTTGCGAGTAGCCACCAATGCCGGATTGCAAAACCTCGCGGAGCTCAAGGAGGACTTTGGCGGTACCGGAATCGCTGGTGGTTGCGAGCAAGGGAACGCTACGAGCACTGGGAGCGGGATTTTGCGGGGGGATATCCAAGGTCAGCGAAAACTGGCTTCCGCACGTTAGTGGATTGTTCCTCGCGCTCTTTCGCGCCTCGCACAAGCTTTCGTAAATTGCATGCGTGTTGTGAGGATCGAAATCCAAGGACGGTTCCGTGTAGAGCGGAAGGGCAGAGTTCATCGAGGAGACGTGTGGTGGGAGTTGTGGGTGCGAATGGGTGCGAATGGGCATGCCGGATTCCGTTGATCTCCGTCGCCAAAACCAGTGATGACCATCAGCCTCATCAGCATCGGCTGGCTGCGCGACAAAAATCAGCGGCGCGTGATGGCTTTCAACCTAGAGCCACGTTCAAAACAGCTGGTTTTTTAACACGTGTACGTTTAAACAGAACCACGGGGTTTTACACCATTTGCAAGTTCTTACCTCCAACAACCGCCAGACACAGCAGATAGATCTCGTACACTTCCTACAACCACGGATGTTGAACCATGTATCTCAATTATTGAACATTGTCAACCAAACGTTAACCAAACACTCGGAAAGATTAAGAGGGAGGACATGAAGCAAGCAGGTTATTTTTTCAACCAGCAGCTTTCGGTTTCCGGTGGGACGTCCCGGCCTCAGCTTCGAGCTTTCAACATAGGAACTGATGTATTTATAGACCTCACCCGATAGGACCACTTCCTGGTTCTGGAGCATCCGGACGGTGTTGAAGACGACGATGAATTCAACCGTATTCGCGGACCACCAAAAAAGTTAAATGGACCGGTCCTTCTAGATTCCAGGAGAGGCTCAACGAACGCCAGGATTCGGACAAGGCAAATCCCAAGCCGCCAGGCAAGCAGCCTGAATACCCACGCCTTGTGATTGAGGAAAAAGTAAGTCAATCCAAATGCCCACTAACTAAATTAGTGGGTCTTGTGGTGCCCTGACCGAAAAACGCCCCTCGCCACAACTTTTGGCTGTAATGATTCATTTTGATTGATCATCTGATCTTCCGTCGATTTGCCCGCCAACCTCGTTGACCGATCATCGCATCATCTGTTCGCATCTGCAATTTGCTGATTCCACGTGAAACTTCTGAACCAAACCCAAGGTCCTGGATCTGCTATGGAGACGTGGACTGCATTCTAGAACAGTCTCGTCGGGACTCGATTGTTCGAGTTTCCCCAAGTTAGTTCCCGGGAGTGTGAAGGAATTTAAAGGATTGGACTCGGAATCCGTTCGTGTATGACAAGTGAGCCCAGAAGAAAAGGGGATTCAAACGGAGGAGGACGGGTTCCAAAATTGAGCGGGGGCCCCAAAAGGAAAAAAGAAAGGCAGTTGAAAGGGTAAAAAATGACAAATATCTAGCAAACGCCCTCGGTGGGAGTCGAACCCGCGTTATCCACCTTTCATTGTCTTTCACATCCTATTACGGGTAGAGGAGGGCATGATCGTGTTGCGAGAGGTTTGAGTTTCCCGGGATGTGAGTGTGAGTGAAATGAACTCGAGCTGCTGTCCTTGTATAACCAATGACCGTTGAGCATTGAGCCAGACTTTGCATGTCCTAGCGCGAAGCCAAAAAAAAAACCTCAGGTGGGTTTTGCCCGTAGTGCAGAGTTAGTTCCCTTAAGCGTTGCGTCCGCCACCAAAACAAAATGGTATCCTCCTGACCGAGCTGCCCCTGCAAGGTTCGAACTTGCGATCTCACGATAAAGTGCTCCACAGAGGATCATAACAGTCGTGCGCCTTCACCAACTGGGCCAAAGGGCAGTGGGCAAAAGACAGATTTGGGCGGATGTAATGGAGGAAGAATTACTTATTGAGACATGAACAACAACAAAAAACTTCTATTCAAACATGCTGTATGCCTATGACATGTATTACTATCGTTCTGGGTGGAAGATCCACTAATCTACTGATATGATGGTCTGGTTGGAGTCGAACTCACAGACAAGACAAGACAAGAAATACCGCGCCAAGCTCACCCGACACCGTCAGCAAGCATTGTATCTCGTACTTGTTTTACATGAGTGCCTTAACACAGAATTGAGGGCAGAATGTGCGGTTCTCGGAGACAGCGAGTTCTTTGAGGTTGAACATTGCCCACGTGACTATGGTTGAATTCCACCATCGATCACTTTTATTTCCGGGGCTCGTAAAATCATACTAAGGGGCCTGAACTTCCATCGAGCGTGAGACGTACCGGAACCAACCAATTATCCCATAGTCTATAGAGCATGTGGTGTATAATTCATTGAACATACACTGCGAAAAGTCTCTTCAGAATGCAGGTTATTCCAAGTTTCTCAACACGCAAAATTGATATACTGTGAACTAGATCCCCCACTCTTCCGCACAGTTCAAGTACAAATAAATTCCCCGGTATCCCAGATACCGTGCTATTTAGACAGCTTCATGCAATCGCAGATTGCGGTCTACTGATGTCGCAGATTGCGCTCCACTGATGATATAGTCTTCCCACTTAGAAGTTAGGGAGCCTTGGGACGCCGATCAAAGTCTATATTTCTCTGGCCGTCCTTGACTCTGCTTTAGACATTGGCTAAGTTCTCTGCGGATCGATCTGAGCCCGTACCTGACGAGGTTCGCATCCACGAGCTGTTTGACTGCGGCCATGAACAGTAAGTAGCGGGGGCCCATCCCAATCTCGAGGGGACAAACTTGAACCCTGGCATACTCCACGTTAGGCTTGTCTTTGGAATACCCGTTTTCTTCCAGCTGTCTTCCGGCTTCCTCGACATGGAAAAGCATAGTGTATGGCTGTTAGACTCGTAACCAGTCTGCATTCTATGGCAAATCTTTAGTGCAAGCACTATGCCGTAGGCAGACTGATACAACTTGGGCTAAGCGAAAGGGCTGAGCCCGGAGTTTAATTTTTTTTTCTTCTTAGCTAGATTCAATCACTTCCAACTGAATCCGTAAATAAGGATCACCAGGGGTAGAGGTATACCTCCCAAGGTACAGCGGGAGGTACGGGGGAGGTAGAGGTAGAGGTTGGGACGTTCATACCTCTGGCCAAACCTCTGTCAACCTCCGGAGGTACAGAGGTACAGAGAGGTACTGGGTCACAGGCCTCAGAGTGTTATTCTGGAGCACTTCCTGAGTTAATTTGCCCTATATGTAGCTGAATATGCCAATAGAAAGCAGTTGCTGGAACAACTGAAGTATTTCAGCTCTATTGAGCCAGATCAGAACAATGCCAAAAATAGAAATATGTGCCAGAAGACAATATGAAGCCCCAAAGCTCAAAAGCAATGTATGGAGTGGTATAATAGGTTCAAACCAACATATGCATTGACTCAAGTTGCTTGGATTCTCCCATTGAGCATGTATTGAGCCATACCTCCGATCATATACCTCGGGAGGTACAGTTCAAAGGTACAGAGGTACATACCTCCGGATACCTCCGGATACCTCCGCAGAGGTAGAGGTTATACCTCCGCAGAGGTAGAGGTTATACCTCTCCAGAGGTAAGGGTTTGAGAGGTAGAGGTAGAGGTTGACTGTTTTGTACCTCTACCTCTACCCCTGGTGAACCCTATCCGTAAAGCTCAAAGGGAAAGTATGATTCAAGGCAACTTTCCTTCCATTCTGCTGGTTCAGAATCCCACCAGATGCCATGGATGTTGAGTATCGGACACCCGATTTACAAGGGAAATGATGGTTTTGCACAGCCACCGTTTGATGCCGCGGATCGGCACCGCTTGAAAATTCAAACTCCGGGCGCAGCCCTTTGGCGTGGCCCGAGTTGTACCAGTCTGCCTACGGCATAGTGCTTGCACTAAAGAATTGCCGTGGCAGACTGGTCACAAGTCTATATGGCTGTGAGGAGGACCAGTTTGCACTCGGAATCGACAGCATACCTGCAAGGCGCGGTAAGTATGCGGAGAAAGAAAGAAAAGGATCCGCAAACTTTCTGGTCACTCGAGCCCATTCTTTGCACCCTGATCCGTATCCTTCCCTTCCTTTCCGCGTTTTCCGTGTATTTAGAAACAAACACATCAGGGTCTATCACATGCGATTTTTGTGAAAACACGTTCATCAACGAATCCGTCTCTTCCGTAATAACCATTGTAGCGCGCTGTCGCGGCAAAGCCCACTAACCGGGGTCGGCAAGTTCAACACTACCGGTTCGTGATCGAACATTTATTTGCACTTGACCGTTCGCTTGAAGATTTGTGGAGATAAGTAGAAAAAATGAGAATGTATGCAATGTATGTACCACTTGGCTCAATTCTCGCTCGGTCGACAAGTCGACCAGCTCGCATTGAGCGCGATAACCACTTGTAACCTCATCATCGCTGCGACATCACCAACACCCACAGGTTTGTTTCTTCTCAAGAATGTCCCTGTTATCGGTTCAACCAGTCACTGCGTACTCACACCAATATCCGTTGAGTTTTGGTCAAGCCGAAGTTGGTACCAAAACCTGTCCTGGGATTTTCCCATTGGGCCGGCATTTTCCGGACCACGCCCACCCACGAGCCACTGAGAGTTGTTAAGTCAAACACGATCAGCTAAAGTGTTGGTTCAGAAACTTGATCTCGGATGTTGATCATGGCGAAGGCGTAAGTTCAATTTCGACCAGGAGCTTATGCTTTCGTATTTATTTATTTATTTTTATTTTATTTTTTTGAATCCTCGTTTATAATCTTGTGTGCCTAAGGCATATGGTAGATATAAACCTATACTAATAGTAAACTGGGTTCTCTGGGCGTTTCATAAGTAGTGGGATCGTCAGGCTCGAAACTTTGCGACACCGTGACAGGACGGGCGCGAAGCGGAAATACCGCGGTGGGAGCTAGGCTCCAGTAGATTGGGTCGTGATGGTTCGTAAGTAAAGTCATAGGTAGTCGTAAGGAAATGGAACAATTCTACTTCTCGGGTGGGGGTTCGATCGGTTTGAAGTCTCCGAAGACACTGTGGAATCGGCGCGTGCGTTGGACGTACTGGAACAAATCTGGGAGTAACTTCGGATCGGACAACAGGTGGGAGGTGAAGCTGGCTAGCGGGGTCGTTGCGCGCAACTGGCGCCGCGCATTTTCATGCGCAGGGCAGAAGTGCAGGTAGTGGTCGACTGTTTCGTCGTGCAGGCCGCATAGAGGGCAACTGGGGGAGGGAGCTTTGGTGATGCGATGTAAGTGTCTGGCTAGCGGTATTTATTTCTCTTTCGTACGTATCGCTGTAAAGCAAAAATTGTTTCCTTGTTGTTCCCTCCATTATTATTTTTCCGCCTGCTGGCTCCCGCTGCAATGGGGATATTCAACTCCTCTGAGACTCGCAAAGCTCTCGTAGATCAACGGTAGATCCTTCACTTACAGTATTCTTCGACAATACCTCTGTGTACGTGGATGACGTGGGTTCGAATCCCGCCGAGGGCTTGTGCATTGGGTCGATTACTTTTTGTTTCGGTACGCCAAGCAATGTAACTCCGTCTCCGTCTCCGCGTGAATGAAGAAGCAGAATTACTGTATAACATTCGGGTGGGGATGGCTCCGAAACGTGATCTCGCACCCAGTCCATTGACAAAACACAGCACCAGTGGTATGCACCACACTTCTGAGATAACCATAATGTTACAGTTGCACTAATGTCTGCCGCAAAGTGAGGGGGTATCGTCGGGCCACAAAGTTTGCCCAGATTACGCAGACCGGAGATATAAACACCGTAAGGTCACTGGCAGAGACAGGCGCAACGCAGACCGACAATGGTTAAGCCAGAAGTTGCATTGGGAGCGTTGAAACTAGATCAGGAGTTTCGCTTGTTTCGCGAGAAGAGAGTTGATTTTTGGTTGGATGTTGGATGCAAGCTTGTATTTGAGTGCAGGATTCAGATCAGAATCTCCATCATCGAAAGGGAGGGCTGATTTTGGTCTCGAGCCGTTCTATCTTATGGGTTGGCATGACCCATCGGCGAGGAGACGCCACAAAGAGCAAGGAGTATGGGATATCGGAGCTCGAAATCGCCACGATAAATAGAAATTCGATGTGCGAATTGGGATTCAGGGTTATCCACGCGAGTAGCTCCACGCAGGACTCCACAGGACTAGTCGAATTGGGCAACCGCGAACACCTTACCTACAAGAACCATCTAATTTCCGGGGGGGGGGAGGGAAAGGGAACCGTCGCCGCATCAAGAGTACAGACGGATGGAAGCGACGTCGAGTCCGCCGGGTTTCCAGAATCCGAGATCCAAGGCAAAACCGCACAGGTTGGGTTGAAGCGAAATTTGGAACTTGAACGAGGGCACTGTTCGACTCCAGCATTTCGTCGGGAATTGCTGCCACTGGGTCGGCCTGGGTGAAAGACGTACATCGATCCAGGATTGATTGTTAGCGTCCATGCGGATGAGAATAGCCCAGTGCGGAACGTTGGATTGCGCCATGCAGCGCCGAGAGAGCCTCGCCCAAAGAATTCGCCTGAAGAACAGATTACATGTTAAGGTAGCCGAAGAGACATTGTGAATTTGAGGGAAGCGAATCTGAAAGTGAAAGCTGATGCCGGGTTTTCGTCGGCCTGCTCCTAGTCGAACTGCTGCTCGGGAGGGAGACGAGAGGCGGGATTGCACGCTTGCGAAGTTGGCCTTGAGCCAAGTGCGAGGCTCGGAGGAACTTCAAGCGCTGAGGCGCTGCTCGGGACATTCGTGATAGGTAAATCGGCCGAGTCCAAACTTCAAAGGATTTCAGGTTTCCAAGGGTTCATCCGCTTCAGGTTACCGTTTACTATTTTTCCATACTCCATTCAAGCGAGCGAAAGTGAAATCAATTTGAGCCGGCAGAATTAACCCGGAAATTGAGTGAAACCGTAAACGGCCTTGACTTATCTTTTCGAGTGGGCCGCCGGATCTGCAAGCGACACCGAAAGACAAGTGTATTTTGAAATTGGACTTGACTGGGAGAAGAACAACTCGGGCTAGAGGCCCCACTCCGGATTTTGATGGATTAGAGATCGCAAGGGTTGAGGATATTCGTCGATTGGGCTTGTAGACTGGCTGTTTGAATTGTCGGATGTCGAATGTCACTGGGCCTGTCAGGTGTCGGATGTGGACTGATGTGGAGCATCGTCCGTTTACTAGAGATACCCGATACGCGGGCTCCAAAGTCCCAAGTAGCGATCGGAAGGTTCGCCTCCCCCAAGTGGACTGTAACAGCATGCAAGAGTCGGTGATAGTTGTGAAAGGGAAATCCAGCAAGCTCCACGCGACAACCCAATTCCGAGTCGCAGCTCCACGGGTAGACGGCCATCAAGCAGCAGGCTCCACCCACTCCCCATTGCAAAAATCGCCAAATCGCAAAGCCCTGTCGCAAAGAATTTCGCGCAGTTGCCATGAGAAGATACTTCCCAGTTGAACGTACTTTACACCGTAAGGCACCAGCGCCGGAACGGAGGACCAGAAGGACGGTCCTGCGCCATGAAAAGATTGAACGTACTTTACGGCACCAGCGCCGGAACAAAGGACCACCAGATTAGACCAGATTGAGAAGGACGGAGACAAAGCCAAGACAAAGACGGAAAGGCCGAGACGGAAAGGCCGAGATCTAGACAGGATCTGTCGACGGAGCGGGGATCAAGATCAGGATTGAGATCTTGAGAGTTCAGGCGAGAAATAGGAGGTCCGATGTGGTTGATTGAGTTCAAGAAAGAGGAATACGGTGAGATGCGGAAGGGAGGAGAATTCAAAGGCGGCGCGTAAGCGTCGGACTCCAAGACAAAGCTCCAAAGGGGCCGCGCCTTGGCGGATCGCTATATCTGCATTCGAAATTTGAAAGATTGTATTAGCCAGGCCCCTCAGGCACCGTTGAATGAGTAAGACAACAATGAAGCAAGAAGGGCGCGGCGTCCAAACAAACACACGTACTAACCTGTAAACAACCCGCGTGGGTTGATATTTGCCCGCGTGCGGCGTGCTTGTTCTCCTCTTCCTTCCTTCCTTTCCCTCTCCACCGTCTTTTCTCTTGGAACTCACCGCGCTCGGAACTCACCGCGCTCTCGACTCACTGTGCTCTCGACTCACCGTGCTCTTCACTCTCAACGTAAACTCGCGAGTCGCAACGCACTCACCGTGCTCGCACACCACGCACCCATGAAATCCCTCACTCTCACCGCCGCCGTGGCTCAGATCCTCTTCTCCCTCTCGCTCATCGCCTCGACACTCGCGCACGGCTGGCTCGGCACTCTCACCGTCGCCTCCACCTCCCACACAGGCCCTGCCCCCGTCGAGCAAATCGGCATTTCCTCCACCTCCTCCACCTCCTCCCCCTCCCCCATCCGCCAAATCGCCAACAACCTCCCCATCAAAGACCCCCGCTCCTTAGACCTCACGTGCGGGCGCAGCGCGGCGCCCGCGACGCAGCTCGCCGCCGCCAAGCCCGGGGATGTGATTAAGTTGGGGTGGAAGACGTTGGCAGAGGGGGGGCGGTGGTTTCATGATGTTGGGCCGATGATGGTGTATATGACGGAGTGCGGGAGTGAGGAAGCGTGTAAGGGGGAAGGGTTTAACGCGAGCGAGGCGGAGTGGTTCAAGATTGCCGAGCAGGGGGTGGGTGCGGATGGGACGTGGGCGCAGGCGAAGCTTGGTGCGTTCCTTTTCTCTTCCCCTTCCTTCCCGCTTTCTTTCTCGCCCCTTGCGACGCAAAGACTCACCAACACGCAGACACCGGCGCCCCCGCCACGCTCACCCTCCCCCCCACGCTCGCCCCCGGCAACTACCTCCTCCGCTTCGAGATCATCGCCCTCCACACCGCACAGACCCCCGGCGGCGCCGAGTTCTACCCCGCCTGCGCCCAGCTGCGCGTCTCCGGCTCCGGCACGGGAAAACCCGCTGCGAGCGAGCTCGTAAAGCTGCCGGGCGCGTATCAGGGCACGGATAATGGGATTCTGGTGGATGTGTATGATTTGCCGGCGGGGGAGTATGTGTTCCCGGGGCCGAAGGTTGCGGCGTTCGTGACGGGTGGGAGCGCGGCGGCGTCGAGCAGCAAGGCCGCGTCTTCCAAGACGACTAAGGCAGCCGCGACGGCGAAGACTACCAAAGGCGCTGTTTCCAGCAAAGCAGCCGCGTCTTCCAAAACTACCAAGGCCGCCGCCACGCACACCTCTAGGCACATCTCCACACACGCCGCCTCCACCTCCGCCCCAAATCCACCGCCTCGCCAAAGACGTGCAAGACGAGCCACGCGTCGCGGCGGCGGCGCGGACTCGCGGACGCTGCTGATTTGGAGGCGCGATCAGCGCGATCCGAGGCGGAGGAGGACCAGCACGCGCCGGCGGAGGGAGACACGGAGAAGTTGGAGGGGAAGGAGCACGCGCGCGTCATCTGCACCGCCTCGGCGGGCCGGGGAGCAGGGCGCCGTTTTGAGCGCCTTCCTCTTCCTGCCCTTCCTCGCGTGTCGTATCCTCACCGACTCCTCACCCCCGCACACCACCCCCTTACCTAAACGACACGTCAACGATTCGCCAACGATAGGCGCACGCAGCCGCCGCATCCTCTCCCTCACCTCCCTCCTCCGGCTCTCACATCGCCGGGACGATTCTTGCTCTCTTTTCTTTCACCTCATTCCTCGTGTATTACCACAATCGTGGACTTGCGTCCGGACGCGGCATCTATCCTCTTCCCCTCTCAACATCTGAGCCCAGCGCCCAACCGAATCAAGGACCTGGCGTCCTCCTCACTCCAGCAGCGGCGCGTGCGCCGTCCAACCCTCCAGCGGTTGGTTGTATATACTCTTTATTACTTTATCATTTGACGAAAAAATTGACCCGTGTAGCCGTACTTACCGTCCCGCCTGTGTAGATTTTGTAGAAAACGTAGATATGAATGAAGGCGCCGTGCGTTTCCGTTCCATGTTCTTTTCTTCTACGCGACCCCGCAGCCTCCTTTCTCCCTACACAAGTGAAAAAATGCATTAGGACGAGCAAAACAGTATAGAAAAAATCGCGTGTGCGGGGGGACGCCCTCGGTGGGAGTCGAACCCACGTCGTCCACTGAAAAACCACTTGAAACACCAATTCAGGGGGGATGATCTACCGTTGATCTACGAGGGCCTGATAGGTTGGAGGAGGCTTGACTTTTGTCAAGTGGTTTGCTGGGAGTGCTGAACTCGAACTCCATGTAGGCTGGGGCCCGGGGATCCAACAAACAAGGGACGGATTTCGAGCGCACCAAAAGAAAGGCAAGGGAGTTGAAGGAGAAAAAAATATTGCTCCAAAGCATACGCGCTCGGTGGGAGTCGAACCCACGTCGTCCACATAATTCACGGGCTACTATTATAAGTATTGAGAGTGCAAGATCTGCCGCTAATCTACGAGGGCTTGATCCCTTGGTAGGAGGGTTGGGTTTCCCCAAGTTAGTTCCCGGGAGTGTGAAGGAATCTAAAGGATTGGACTCGGAATCCGTTCGTGTATGACAAGTGAGCCCCGAAGAAAAGGGGATTCAAACGGAGGAGGACGGGTTCCAAAATTGAGCGGGGGCCCCAAAAGGAAAAAAGAAAGGGCAGTTGAAAGGGTAAAAAATGACAAATATCTAGCAAACTCCCTCGGTGGGTGTCGAACCCGCGTTATTCACCTTTCATTGTCTTTCACATCCTATTATAGGCGGAGGATCTACCACTAATCTACGAGGGCATGATCGTGTTGCGAGAGGTTTGAGTTTCCCGGGATGTGAGTGTGAGTGAAATGAACTCGAATGTTGACCTTGTACAACCAATGACCGTTGAGCATTGAGTCAGACTTTGCATGTCCTAGCAGCGAAGCCAAAAAACGTCAGGTGGGTTTTGCCCGCAGTGCAGAGTTCCCTTAAGCGTTGCGTCAACCATCAGCCACCGGAAAAAATGTTGTCATCATCATCACTTAGCTGCCCCTGCAAGGTTCGAACTTGCGATCTCACGATGAAATGTTAGCGGTCCAATTCATAACAGTCGTGCGCCTTCACCAACTGGGCCAAGAGGCAGTCGAGTTGTAGATTTGAGCGGGGGTAATGGGATACCAGTGTTGAGCCATGAACAACGACAAAAAAAAGCTTATATATCAAACATACTGCATGCCTAAAAGCTGTTGACCTGCATTGCGAGGAATATCTACCGCTGATTTACGAGGGCATGATTTGAATACCGGTAGGAGTTAATTGAATGTTGAATATCGGACGAAATCACAGACAAGACAAGAAATCCCGTGCCAAGCTCATGCGACACCTGTCAGCAAGGATTGCGTCTCGTGCTTATTTTCGGTGAGTGTATCAAAGGAATTCCGAGCATGTAAGGGCAGGATGCGTGATTCTCGGAGATAGCAAAATCTTCTGAGGTTGAACATCGTTCACGTGACTGTGGTTGAATTCGAACATCGATCACTTTTATGTCCGAGGCTCGTAAAATCATACTAAGGGGCCGGGTCTTTCATAGACCATCAGAAGTCCCAATCATCACATACAGCTTTGTATAACATACACCGCGAAAAGTCCCGTCGAAATGCAGGTTATCCCCAACACGCAAAATCGTCGCTTGCGATGGAAGCCTCAACATTGGTTCGGTCGCATGTGGTAATGCCTGTGCTATCAGATTATTTGGTGCTCAAAACGGATGCCCACATGCAGCATCAGCCGAAGCATTGACAAGTGTTGGAATCGGACTCCGCATTCCGGGCAAGAAAACAGTGTATATCCCTCCTTACAGAGCAAAGTCCGGGTTAGTAACCCAGGTACGCTGAAACGTACGAATTGGACCGCCGGCGGACTAGGGATTGTAAATATCTGTTACGAGATTGCAAGAAGAAACACGCCAGAAGCGTGTACAGCGAAAGCAAACAAAAAAACATTACTTTGCTTCCATGCCCTCATCAGCGCCGCAGGCGCGCACCCCCGCACACCGTGCGCCCGCCGTCTGCACCGCCACCATCAAATTTTTCATATCGACCCCTCTCCGTCGCTGTCAATGTTCGCCTCGCCGCTGTCAATGCCCCCCTCACCGTCGTGCCCACCGCGTTCACCGTCGTGCTCACCGTCGTCCCCGCCATCACCCCGCCTCTCGGCAACTCCTGGCACCCGGATCATTCCGCTTTTGCACGTGTACATTGTCACGTCCTGTCGTCCCGCTTCCTTTGCCCATACCCTCCCGCCCGATCTGCGTCACGCTCATCGCCGTCCCGTCGTCCCGTCGTCCCGCTCCCGCCGACCAGTGCTGGCGACGCTGCGGTCTCGTCGCCTCCCTTGTCTTGTGCATTCAACACCATTTCTTGGTGACTTCCCCACACTCCAGTCAAGTCGCGTTGTCCGTCGCACCCAATCTGCGTTAAAGCTCGCCGGCTCGCCCCCCTCGTCTCCCGCCGACCATTCCTGGCGACGGCGCGCTCCAGTCGCCTCCATGTCTTTTACGTATTCAACCCCGTTTGGTTCAACACATCGCACTCCTGGTTTCCAGCCGTCAATCTACGCGTTCCCAAGCCCAGCTGTACTAAAGGGCTCCTCAAGCCTCCTTTCCCTAGTCTTCGTGCCGCACCATTTATCTTACCTTGCTTTTAACCACGTCAAGGACCGATAACCAACGCAAGGCTTTGCTGCGGATCACCGTTCGATTCGCACCATGTACCTCTTTTTGCAGCCCACTCGTTCTCTCATCTTTTCTCGCTCACAAGCTTGGCAACACTCGCGAATCCGTGTATTGCAGCGGCAACTCACACAAACTGCATTCAATGGGACCAGCCTTTCTTCCTTTTCCTTCATCTTCTTCTTCTCATTGCACCGCAAGCAGCTGGTTCGAAGCTCCGCTCGCGCGTAAGACTCTTCCTAATCCGGTAAATATTACATGGCCGCATTTTTTCAGTGCGAACATATTTTATCAAGAACTCATCCTGCGCAACGTTCGTTTTTCAACGCGCTCACCAAGCACGCCCTTGTGAGTAAGGTGAGAACTTTCTTCTGATCCTTCCCTGCCATCGCTTTCGTCACAGTCACGCCAGCCCCACACCTTTCCCTCTTCCACCATGTCTGCAAGATCGTCCACGCGTACCCGTCGAGTACGTGCAAGATCGTCCACATTCTACCTGACACTAACACAAGTTTAGGCGACAGTACAACCCCAACTCGTCCGCCAGGTAAAAAATCTCCCGTTGTCCATCCTCGCAAAGCTCATGCCTTTCGTCTGGAAGGATAGCCCAGCCGCTGTCGACGAGGAGTCCCCCAAGAAGGTTCGCTCTTCATCCATCTGCCTCCACGCAATCTCACACTAACATAACCAGACGAAAGGCGGGAAAAGAAAGACCAAGGATCACGACTCAAAGACCGACGACAGCCCTGCTGCGGTGGACGAGGAGTCTCTGAAAACGGTTCGCTCCGCATCCATCTGCCCCCACACAACCTCACACTACCACAACCAGGCGACAGGCCGCAAAAGGAAAAACAAGGGCGACGACGCGAAGACCGACAACGCGAAAGACGACGATGGGACCTTCAACCCCGTCTCTGGGGAAGAAAGTAGCGCTGAAGATGACGACGACGAGCCGGTGAGTCTCTAGGACCCATCTGCTCTCTTTTTCCTGACGCGGCGGACGCAGCCGAAGAAGAAAGGCAGGGTATATCAGTTCCTCTTTTTTTTTTGGCCCCATCCAATGATCCGTTCTCTGTAGAATACCTCGGCGAAACCTAAAACGACCGCGCAAAAAGAAACGGTGGCAAGCGGCGGCAAGAAACCCAAGACTACGACGGAGGTAAAATCGATTCACTCAAACAATACAGATGTCCACTCATTCCACTTTCAGCCCAAACCCCGTAAGACCGTCGTGAAAAAGAACCCCGGAGCCGTGTCAAAGCCAGCGGCAAGGTCGGCCCCCATCCTTTCGGTGCGTCTCTTTTGATTCTGTCGCGGCCTGCGCTGATGAGGAGCAGGATCAAGTCTCCATCGCCGCTGACGCCAGCGTCGCCAAATGGCGCGCCGACCTCGACCTCGCCACCAGCTCCAGAATAGCCGCCGCTGAAGAGGCCAGGGCCGACTTCTACCTCACAATGACGGAGGTCGGCACCCGCGCCCTCGAACTCATCGACATCCTCGCCTTGGAGCATGCCATCCCCTTGGAAGACCAGGGAATCATTCCAAAGGGCCCACGTCCGCGTTTCCAGTTGGGCGAGGCACCCGAGCACCCGCCTCTACCGGCTCCGTTCAAGTCCCTTTGGCTGATCGGCAAAATTTTGCGCTCCCCCGTGGACGACTCAACGGCCGACGCCAGCCCAAGCACCGCCGATGCCGCAAGCACGTCCACCGAACCCATCCCCGCCGGCGCCGCGACGACGTCGTCGACCATGCTCCTCGGAGATCCCGCTCTCGTTGAAGAGACGCCGGGCTCGCCGACCCAGACCCACGAGGAGGAGGATGGACAGCAGTAGTTGCACTAGTTTTGGACCCACCTTGTCCGTACGCATTTTCATCATCCGCATCCGCACTCTTCCCCTTCGCATACACATTCCTCGTCGTCACGCTGTCTGATGCATTAGTTCTTGAGCATTCCTTTTGTAACTTGCACTTTATCAATAGCATGAACTTCTTGGCACCTCCCGTAGCTTTTTTTTGTCCACAAATGAATCGACGATAAATATATGTCTGATCTTGGTCTGATAGGGCTGCTTATATAAGTCGATCCAAACAAACAAACAAACACGACGCCTTTTGCTTTCTCCCACTTTCTTGGAACGCGTCTTTTCTTGTGTACACTATTTCTTGGCTTCTTGGATGACCCTCTGCATTCTCTCGCCTCACCATGGCCTCCCGACCCTCACGCCTCGATGCGGCGACACGTTACTTCGAGCTGTCCGACGAGGAGAAAGCGCGCGTCGCGGAGGAGGTCGACTTTTCTGCACAATGGGAGGAGCTGGGTGCGACCACCATCAAGACTCGGGAGGAGACGAGGGAAGAGGTAGAGGCTTTTTGGGCAGGCGAAGGGAACGAGGGAAATGTATGGGAGCAGAGCGTGGCAGAGTTGACGCGTCAGTTCCTTTTTTCTTTCATCGCGCGTCTATCCTTTTGCTGAACACGAACCAGGTGTTCTCAAGACGTGGTTGAGTGCCAAGGTCAAAGGGACAAAGCCATGCCCCAAGCGCGCGAAACTGGGCGCCACCCACGTCACCTTTTCGACGTTGAAGGCCTGGCGCTTGCGTTTGATACGAGTCGTACGTGCACATGTTTATCACTCAATCCCTAACCTCAGCTCCAAACAGATCAACAAGCACATCGAGAACGGCATCAAGATGCTCAATGACCACCTCTACATTGCACTTTGCCAGCATTCCGGCTACCTTACGGTTACCCACAAGCTGCAGGTCCTACAAGATC